AAGCCAGGAGATAAGCACCGGAGACAAAATGGAGGTTGGAGGCTGATTGGAAAGAGGGTCCATTTATTGACGAAGCAGGACCACATGGGTTTGAGGTCCTGGGCAGAAGACCACATGGAGTTGAGAGTGAGGGATATTTATACCTGCTCTTGGGCTTTGAACTTGAGTTTCCTGTTCCTGTGCCAGAACATGTATTCTATTGGCTGTTGTAGAGGTCATAGCTGGTTCTGTAGGTTGTCTGAGCCACGCTGGGTTGAAGCTTGGTCTGCTGATGCAATGAAGGGGCTTGTTGGGCAATTCCTATTGTGGCTGAGGGCTAACCCTACCTTTGTTCAGACCTTTCTGCAGGGAATTTGCTTATGAATAGAGCTAGCTATCTCTTTATCTCTTAAGTGCTGACATCTGCTGAGAGCTATTAAGAAAAGCGGGGGCTGCTTTCCAAGAGTATGTTTCTCCATTTCTCATCCATGGAAATATAATATTCTGCCTTTTTAATATTTCTCAAAATATTTCATTCTTCTAAGAGAGGGGCGGGTGCTAACTTTCTACATAAGTTTGTTGGTCATAAATTTGTCCTGCAAAAAGGGGATATGAGAAAAACCCCTAACAGTTACATGGATAGCTCATCAGATACACACAGTATTAGGACATCCTCAGGGATGGGTTCTAAATTTTTTTACTACCGGTTCTGTGGGTGTGGCTTATTTTGTGGGCATGGCTTGATGGTCATGTGACAGTGGGCATGGCTTGATGGTCATGTGACTGCGTGGGCGTGGCCAACTCAATGTCACTCACATCAAGGGGTGCCTCCCCTGGCCCCTCCCCTCCCAGCTATTCCTTGTCACACCCAGCCTCAACGTATCTATAGTTCTGTAAAAATGTTGTTTACCTTTTTTCAACTTTATTATCTACATACTATAGATAGATTGATTGATTGATTGATTGATTGATTGATTGAATTTCTATACCGCCCTTCTCCCGAAGGACTCAGGGCGGTGAACAGATTAAGATTTCATATACATATAATATATATATATATATATATATATCTTTTTTCTTTTTTCATAGGCTTTTATGTGCATATTCTCTCTAGCCAGGTTTTACCTATGTAAACTTAGTTGTTCTTCAGCCCTAGGTTCTGTGAAATCTCATTCACAAGTTCTTGGGCCCTTTTTCTGCTGACAAACTGCAACTCTGTGTTGCTTTCTCCCAGCTTTCTGGGAGACCCAGATAGCTATTTCTACCTCTTAAGGCGTCATCAGTGGGCCACACCCACTTCCCAATTATCCTCCCTGTAAAGGCATAATGTATCTTTTTTCTTTTTTTTTCTTTTCCCAGAAAGCAACACAGAGTTGCAGTTTGTCAGCAGAAAAAGGGCCCAAGAACTTGTGAATGAGATTTCACAGAACCTAGGGCTGAAGAACAACTAAGTTTACATAGGTAAAACCTGGCTAGAGAGAATATGCATATATATATATACACATATATATATTGCACTTTCATGGACCACGGAAAGGAGGAAATGGCTCACATGCTTTGCCCAAGAGTGTGATAGGCAACAGGCTTTTAAGGAGCTGCCAGAAAGAAAGGGGGAGGGCAAATCCTGCTACTTGCATCCTCCCACCCCAATTTGTACAGCATCTGCAGTCCCCAAACTCCTTGGGACAGCCGTTCTACAGCACTACTATATGAATGAACAGAGAGTTACACAAAACCTTGAAAAAGAGCCAGAGCAATTTAAATTGTGCCTGGAAAGAAAAATAAAAAAATAAGGATGATTGATTCAGAGAACTGGCATAACAGGATGTCTCTGTCCCACTTGCTAAAGGAATAAAAGTTGCCATCTTTTATTGCCTCACTTACACAGTGTGCAAGCATTCTTTGTGCTCTGAAATTCATTGTTATTTTGGGTGCCCCAGAAGGGTTACATAACATTCAGCCTAAGCAAAGCTTGTAAGTCCCTGCTACATTTTTCCACATCCCACCCTGTCCCCCCACATGGGTGAGTGGGTGAGAAGGAGGAGGAAAGGAATCGTGGAGTTCATCAAGGTTATCATGCCCTCAACAGGAGCAAGTATAGGAAATTTTTAAATTTGATTACGTTCCCTTTTGGAAGGATTAACAGGCTTTGCAAACTCTGGCTTGTTTGGGTTGACGGTAGCTGGGAAAGAAAAATGGGAAATCAGAATAAAAACCGAACGTTCTGCTTGGATTGAAAAGTTAGTTTGTTATCGTTCTAGGAAGAAATTCAGATTAATTACACTGAAACATTTTGGTCATGAGGGAAAGGCATACATTTAAAAAAAAAAAAACAACAACCCAACAACAACAGCTCTTTCTCTGAGTTTTTCTTCACGGTAACCAACTCTTAAAAAGAACATTCCGGCGCAAAACCTCGGAACCAAGCCACGGGTGTGGATTACAAGAAGCCATCCAGATTTGAGTTAAGTTAAGAGCGGATCATCAGATAAAAAACCATTAGCCTTACATGACAGGAAACTGGGAGAGCTGAAACAATGAAGAGATCTTGTTACATATTGTTCAACAAGTTTGCCCAGAATTTATCATATGGAACTCATTGATGCCATAATTTCATGAAGGGGAAGAGGAAGAAGTTCTGGGCGGGAAGGGGGCAGGGAAATAGCTGTAAAATTCCTGAGTTGTGCGGATTTGCATTTGGAGACTATGTAATATCTGCCAGAAGTTGAAGCAAGACTCAGAATCTGTTCAAGATGCCTGGCCTGAGCTTTAGGGAAAGTGCGCAAGCGAGCATATGCAAAGGGCCTCTGAGCTTATAGACTTCCTTCTTAAAACTTGGAGGCTCAAATTGTGCTGCCATCCTGCCTTGTAAGGACACTTAATGGCTGTGGGAGATAACAGAATCACAAAAGTGGGAAGGGACCTTAGAGGTCATTCAGTCCAACCCCCTGCTCAAGCAGGAGACCCCCCCTACACTATTTAGTTGTCCAATTTAATTGTTTGTCCAATTTCTTCTTCAAATCCTTCAGCATCAACTCTGGTGATGGACGATTCTGGGGAATAAATTAGGCTGAAGAAAAGCAACCTAGTTCTTCTGGTAGAGTGGGGACTTTGAACCTAAAACATATGATGAACGGTTGCAGGAACTGAGCATGGCTAGTCTAGTGAAGAGAAGGACCAGGGGAGACATCAGAGCAGTCTTCCAATATTTGAGGGGCTGCCAAGGACAGGAAGGGGGTCAAGC